TTTTAATGTACAGTATAGAATGAAAGAATAGTACAATACTAGAGTCAAACCTATAAAAGACAATTCTAGGTGGCCTGTTACGAGAGGTCTAACCATAGGGGGTCTAAATTGCTATAGTTCTATCATACGCTTCATCTCAAGTTAGTGACTGGAAAAGTTTCTGTACTTTGGAAAACTGGTTACTTGGTCTCACAAGGAAGTTTTACTGTATGAGCAGACTGTATTTGAAGGAGTTTATCTTTCCCCATCAGACGTAAATATCTCTCTTTATTAAACCATCTCGTGAATTTGTCACTTTACTTGGAAGTGTAGAGAGATTTTGTTATTCACTTCATATCGTCTTTCACTCTCTCCTCTGAGAACATACTTCCGACTCTGTAATCCATTGAAATCACTTGCCATCATCATTTGTTTGTTCACTTGTGGAGAATTAGGCTGTAGTCTCTCTGCCTGTAGGCTACCCACTTGTATATTAGGGTTTTACCCAACAGAGAGGCGCAGTGAACTTTGAATCGAACGATCCGGGATGGCGGCACTGTGCTGTGTTGCTAACCAATCAGTGTAGAAGTATCACGAACTTTTCGTGCAATTAGGTGTAGAATCGAAGCAGTTGTGGTTTGAAAGACTTGACCTTTTCCTGCACTTCTCATTGGTTACTAAGAGTTTGCATCGCGCGCCTAGATGCGTCATTTTGCTTAGCGATTTTAGTGATGTTGCAAATGGTTACTGTTAAACGAGGTACCATCAAGGTACTTATTCCCCGGACCGTACTATTTAACCCTTAAGCTGGAAACAACGCCAAAAGTTAGGTATCAATCGCTCCTATGAACTGCGAAAACCGGCGTCGTCCACACTATGATGTAAACGTACAGGGGAGAAGGAAAATGGGCGATGACAAAACAAGACAAGAGCCAAGAACATGAATATTCGACAACCCAAACAACAATCAACAAACGCATTGAGGGCCTCCTCCTCGTTCGTAGTGATCTGGAGAGCAACGGAGAGGTTCGATTCCTGCTAGTGGCCTCACCTAAGCTAGATTTTAACAGGCGAAGGTAGAGAGAGTCTAGCTTTCGGATCAGCTCTTGATCTGGAGGCTTATCGGTCTGGTCAACTTAGCCACTAATGCTGAACACAGGGCCTCGTAGTGGTCTAGTCTCCACCTCCTCTTCCGGGAGGAGGGTCCCTTATGAAAAGTTCGTCAG